TACAGCCTCAGAAACCCTGTACAGGGTCGTATGAGTCGGAACTGACTCTATGACACATAAACACCACCAGAACCCATCTGACCTTTGTGCTGGTCATAGAAAGGAGCTAAATGTCTATATGGTTGTAACTACCATCCTTACATCTCTCAAACCTTCAAAGGAATCTCTGAAATTCTCTGAGAGATTATGGAATGATAGGGAAGTGGGTTCAGGGGTGTAAACTTGACTCTTTCTGTCATTGTAATACAGGATGGTGAGACTTCATCTCATACTTCAGACATGTTATCAGGAGAGATCAAGTCCCTGGAGAAGGATATCATGCTTGGTAAAGTGGAGGGTCAGTGAAAAAGAGGAAGACCCCCAAATTGTGGATTGACACAGTGGCAGTAGTACTGGGCTCAAGCGTAGCAACAATTGTGAGGCTGGCACAGGACCGGGCAGTGTTCCATTCTGTTGTACATAGGGTCACTATGAGTCAGAAATGGCTTGACAGTATCTAACAACAACAACCATAGTAACCTTTACTCCTTGGAACTGGAATTCTACCAGTTACCAAGTATGTCTATTCTTAGTTTATATTCTGGAACTCAATGAATTCTATCCTGTTGGATTCAGGCTTAGATGATATCTATCCCCTGATGTGCATAAGCTCCCACTCTGGTGGTCCATGGTGGCTTTGTAAGTTTCTGCAGTGTAGCAGAAAGAATCTAATGACCCCGGGGAAGGTCTGGGTATCCCTCTTCCCACAGTCACACCTTTAAATGACTGCAGTTCTCTCTGGGAGAAATTTTGGGTTAAGATTTATGGTAGGTATATATTTTTGGTGATTAGCGAGGGATATCATTGCTGATGTCTGATGGCTCTTGGCTGAAAGCAGATAATATCAGAAAGATGTTTACCTGTGCTTTATTGACTACACAAAGGCTTTTGATTGTGTGGATCGTGACAAGCTATGGACAACATTGTGAAGTACAACTATTCTGGAACACTTCATTGAGCTCATGAGGAATCTGTACCTGGACCAAGAGGCAGTTGTTCGAACAGAACATGGGAACACTGAATGGTTTAAAATTAAGAAAGGTGTGCGACAGGGTTATATTCTTTCATGATACTTATTCAACCTGTATGCAGAGCAAATAATCCGAGAAGCTGGGTTCTATGAAGAAAAACGCATCAGGATTGGAGGAAGACTCATTAACAACCTGCGATATGCAGATGATACAACCTTGTTTGCTGAAAGTGAAGAGGACTTAAAACATTTACTGATGAAGATCAAAGAGTACAGCCTTTGGTATGGATTACATCTCAGTGTTAAGAAAACAAAAATCTTCACCACTGGACGAATAAACAACATTCTTATCAATAGAGAAAAGATTGAAGTTGTCAAGGACGTCATTCTTCTTGGATCAACTATAAACACTCACGGAAACAGCAGTCAAGAAATCTAAGGATGTATTGCATTAGGTAAATCTGCTGCACAAGACCTTTTTAAAGTGTTGAAGAACAAAGATGTCAGCTTGAGGACTAAGGTGCTCCTGATCCAAGCCATGGTATTTTCAGTAACCTCATATGTATGCGAAAGCTGGACAGTGAATAAGGAAGACCATAGAAGAATTGATGCATTTGAGTTATGGTGTTAAAGGAGAATATATAAAGTGCCATGTGCTACCAAAAGAACCAACAGATCCATTTTGGAAGAGGTGCAGCCAGAGTGCTCCTTGGAGGCCAAGATGGCCAAACTTCGTCTCTCATACTTCGGGCATATTGTCAGGAGGGACCAGTCACTGGAGAAGGATATCATGTTTGGTAAGGTGGAAGGTCAGAGAAAAAGAAGAAGACCCCCAACGAGATGGATTGGCCAAGTGGCAGCATCGATGAACTCAAGCATGGTAACAGTAGTGAGGTTGGACCAGGATCGGGCAGTGTTTCATTCTGCTGTGCATAAGGTCGCTATGGGTCGGTACAGACTCGATGGCACCTAACAACAACAACAACAACAATAATTGTTGTTATTATTGTTGGTATGTATTGTTGAATCAGTTCTGACTCATAGCGATCCTGTATAGTGTTTCTGAGGAGTAGCTGGTAGGTGTGAACTGCCGGCCTTGCAGTTAGTAGTCCAGTGCTTATCCTATAGCACCACACCAAGATTCCAATTATTAGGATGGCAGTCACTTTTTTTATGATATATCCATGTGGCCAGATCCTTTCTTCTAAGGGCAAGTTGTTGTTGTTAAGTGCCATCGAGTTGGTTCTGACCCATAGCGACCCTGTATAGGGTTTCTGAGGCTGTAAATCTTTACAGGTGCAGAAAGCTTCATCTTTCTCCTGTGGAGCAGCTGGTAGTTTCGAACTGCTGACCTTAAGGACCTGTCCTTAATTATGGGTCTTTGAACCTCAGTTAGGTTTCTATTCTTCAGATCAAGAATTTTTTCTCCATATATATGTTAAGCAGAACCTTAGTACAGTACCTATCTTATTTCTATTGCTCCTTTGATCAATTAGCCATTGCCACAGATCCCTGCCTCTATAATGAGACAAATTATGCTATTATAGCATCCCCTGTCCTGGTGTGGTGCTGCTGGTTAATGCGCTGGACTGCAAGGTCAGTTTGAAGCACGTTTGGCGGTGAGTCGGAACCCACTTGACGGCACTTAACAACAGCAACAAACCTTCATTCCTAGGATTCCTGGTATGGCACTATAGGATCAGCACTAGACTGTGAACCACAAAGTCAGAAGTTCAAACCCACCAGCAGCTCCTTGGACACTCTCTACAGGGTCACTATGAGATGAAACTGACTTGACTGCACTTAACAATAACAACCATCATTCCTGACCTATTGAAAACAGTATCACAGGCCTCTTCAAGGATGTTAAGAACTGCTCATCAATATATTTCTTAATGCTTTGTTAAAGGGATTATTAGGGTATGCATGTTTAGGGGAGCTGAACAGGTCACACATATAAATGTATTCCAACAATTCCCTCTTTCCAAGCTTTTAACTCTCTACAGAATGCAGATGGGTTTGAACATTTTAACCTAACTGACTGCAAATAACTGGACTTCAGCTTTCAATGAGTGAACCTAACAGACTATTACAGTCATTCTACTTGTGCCAACACATTAATTAGGTAAAGTGCAACCATTTAAGGGTGGAGTATGGAAGCAAATGGACAAATACAATTTATAAATAGAGTTCATTCTTTACTGAGTTGTGAGCCAGCAGTTTTGCTTTATGAAGAAACAAAATGAGAGTAAGCATACCTTAACAAAATGGTGTCTCCATGTCACAATAACTGAAGCAAACATTTGAGTGCTTTTTTTAAATCTTAAGAGGATTTTTCTTTGAAACATTGATTTGATGATTAACAGTCACAGTATGAAATTATAAATATAAATTATGCAAATTTGAATATAATTATAATCCATACTAGAATTTTTATGAAAAATAAAACTATACTTTTTATGTTTCAAAAGTAGTGTTTACATTGTGCATCAATCCTGAAGGCTTAAATTTTTTTTTTATTTGTTTAAAAATTGTTGAAAGTAACAGGGTCAACTTGAGGCCAGGCTTGAATGCCATTAGATATAATTTCATCTCAGATATCAGCTTCTTAATTTTGTTTTTCCACCCAGAAACTTTGGTTTCTATATTATCTACACTTGGATGGGCCCATACACACATTGACTTTTTTTTTTTTTTTTAAGTTTGTCACAGTAAAGTTAGAGGTAGAATAAGTCTGGACCAAACTTCCTGGGTACATATTCTGGCTGTGCCGCTTACTTAGGCAAGCTAGCTGTTACTTACGCAAATTCCTTAACCTCTTTCTCAGTTAACCTCATCTGTAAAATATAAATAATCGTAGATGCCTTATAGAGTTGAGGTGAAGACTGAGATAAATATGTAAATTGCTTAAAACAATCCCTGGTGTGGTGCTGTAGGATAAGACCTGGGTTGTTAACCACATGGTCAGTGGTTTAAACCCACCAGCTGCTCCTCAGAAACCTTATACAAACAGGGTCGCTTGGAACCAACTTACACCACTAAACAGAAAAGTTATAATCATAATTTCTAGATTATTGTTGTTGCTAGGTGCTGTGGATTTCTGGCAACTCCATGTGTTGCAGAATAGAAGGGTTCCATGTGGAGGTCTGTTGTGATGCTCTAAGATAAGCACTAGACTGCTAACCTTAAGGTCAGTGGTTCAAACCCACCCGCCGCTCCTCAGAAACGCTATACAGGATCGCTGAATCGAAACTGACTCAATGGCCCACAAGGACTGGGAATCTCAGATTTCGTTTGTTCATTTTATACCATGTTTACAGCATCCTGATGTAAGAAACAGAATGCAAACTTATTGGGCCCTTGGTTTGGTCAATCACGAAAATATGCACGTTCACTGTCACTATCATTAAAATTTTCCTCTTAATTCCTTCTAGTCAGTCTAGGAAACAGTCATGTCTTTCTGGGCTGGATGAGAAGAGAGTGGTTTCACCCAAAGTTGTGCCTGACAACCCCAATGATTACTACATTTATTTTGGAGACGCTGGTATTCTTCTCCCTTCGACACATCCTGTTGACAAACACTGTAAAACCGAATTTCAACACTATGCAACTGATTTTAGGGAGTTGTCAATACTTTACCGTCACGTCATTGCTTTCTCCGTAGAGAGCAACTGACAGGCTGGTGCAAGCGTTTAAATAAGGCGCTCCCGTTTCATTGGCCAGTGACTGCCAATCAACTGCTCAGTGATTGGCTCTGTCATCAGGTGGGCGGTGTCCGGAGGCGCTGATTGGGGAGGCGGGAGGTTTAAACGGAGGCAGAAAGCTCTGATTGTTTGGCATCACTGGGGTTTGCACAGTTGCGAGCTGAGTTTCCTTTTTTTTACTTCTCGGGTGTCGGTGGGCGAGTTTACTTCGACTACCGCCACTGCCTCGTCTTGCGGGAAGCCGTTAGCAGCCTCCTTGGAGATCCCGGCGGGATCTCGGAGCCGTCATGGCGACCCGGCGTGCGGGGCGAAGCTGCTGGGAGTTGAGCCCCGTGGGGCAGAGGACGTCTGCCGGGCTGTGCGGTCCCGGGGCCGGAAAAGATGCAGCCTCCCCGCCTGTCCTGTCGCTCAGCCACTTCTGCAAGCCACCGTTCCTCTGCTTCGGGGATGTTCGCCTGGGAACCTCTCGGACACTATCTCTGGCCATAGACAATCCCAACGAGGAGGTGGCGGAAGTGGAGATATGCCGTTTCCCGGCAGCGGACCAGGGCTTCAGCGTGTCGCAACGCAGTTTCCTGCTGCAGGTAAGTGATGGGAGCCCGACCGCTGCCCACCTGCCCCTCCAACTCACCGGCCACCCTGGTTCAGGGGACAGGGCTTGAAAGGGCCCCCTCACCACCCGGGACCTGGAGGGAGAGGGGGAGGCACGGAATTCCTTGACTCCTGTGTTGAATGCCTGGGAAAGCGGTCACTTAGATGGGGACACAGTTCTAAAACATTTTTATAGACTTTGTGTCGCAGTTGTAAGTGTTTAGATGGTGGTGTACCGTCGAGTCAGTTCCGACACATAGCGACCCTGTATACCGTTTCCGAGGCTGTACATCTTATTTGAACTTCGGTTTTGGTGCTGTAAAATTAGCACCGGACTGTGAACCACAAAATCAGCAGTTAAAACTAACCAGCTGCACCTGGGAAACCCTATACAGGTTCGCTTAGGAACCGACTCTAGGCACTTTACAATAACATCATCTTTACAGGATTAGAAAGTCACGTTATCTCTCCCGCGGAGTGGCTGGTGAATTCAAATTGCTGACCTTGCAGTTAGCCCAACACATAACACAAGCTGCTAACCAAAAAGTCTGTGGTTTGAAACATGTCAGCTCCCAAAAAGAGTGCAGCCTTAGAAACTCCAGTTTTACTGTGTCCTATAAGGGTGCTATGAGTCAGAATTTCGTGTGAGGTTTGGTTTGATTTTTGTCTGTTAAATGTTCTTACTGGTCGCAAGGCAGGACTCATTCACAGTTGAATCAAACACTGCTTGGTATGCACCGTTCCCAGGATCTGACTGTAGTGATTAATGTTTTCAGCAGTTCACTGCCAGTCTTTTCTTCCTAGTCTATTTTAGTCCGGAAGCTCCACTGAAACCTGTTCAGCCTCATAGCAACCCACAAGAGAGCTTCCACTGATAGATGGGTGGTGGAAGTGTGTGAGGTGTACTCACTGTAATCCAACCGGTATGGCAGACAAGAATGGAACCATTGAGCCACCTCTGTCCTCCTTAAATAAAGATGGGTGTTCAATAAACCTCAGGCATTGTGAAATGCTCTTGCAGTTTTATTGTCAATACTCATTTTTAAAAACAGAAGATAACCCAGGAGTACATTGGTGAGCACAGTATTTCCATGTGTTTTCTGTCAGCCACCTTAAGAAGCATTTGAATTTCTATAGGTATCCTCAAAGTGTGATGAATTTTGTTGTGTTTTTTTTTTTTTTTTTTTTTTTTTTTTTCTGGCGAAAGAGTGAACTTAGTTTTGGCTAAATGTTACAACAAAAATCTAGAGTTGTTCTCATCATGCATGTGTAGTGTGTATGCACACTTTAGTATTTCAAAACACCTATTTTCTCCTTTGCTGTCAGTATAGTTTTGGTGATGAATCAGATTTCACCTTATCAATATTGTTTCATTAGCTTTTACTGTATTACATTGGCCAGAGTGATTACTCTCATCAAAATCCAGAAAATTTATGCTGTGGTCTTTCCATAGATTTGTTGTTGCTAAGTACCATTGTTGTTGTTGTTATGTGCCGTGGAGTCGGTTCTGACTTGTAGTGACCCTACACGGGGTTTCCGAGGCTGTAAATCTTTATTGGAGGAGACCGCCTCATCTTTCTCCCGCGGAACCACTGGTAGTTTCAAACTGCTGCCCTTGCGGCTCGCAGCCCAATTCGTAACCACTACGCTTCCAGAGCTAAGTACCATAGGTGGTGGTTATGTGCCATGGAGTTGGTTGCAACGCATAGCGACTGTACAAGGTTTCCGAGGCTATAAATCTTTACGGGAGCAGAAAGACTCATCTTTCTCTTCGCTGGTAGTTTCGAACTGCTGACGCTGAGGTTTGCAACCCGATTTGTAACCACTACCCTACCAGAGTTCCTGAGTACCATAAAGTCAGTTCTAATTCATGGTGTCCATGTATAGGGTTTCTGAGGCTGTCAATCTTCACAGGAGCAGAAAGCCTCATCTTTCTTCCCTAGAGAAGCTGAGTTTGAACTGCCAGCCTTTCAGATAGTAGGCCAGTGCTTATCCTACAGTGCCACCAGGAGTCCACAGAGTAGAACCTTTGAAAGTGTGAAAATAAACTGTGATGTCAGACTGCCTGGCTTGGGTTCTAATTACCAGCTGTCTGACTTTGGGCAAGATACTTAAAGCTTTCTTGACAAGGTCATGTCATTATAAAATCTGCGTAATCATAGTACTTGCATTCTAGTGATAATTATGAGCTTATCCTAGGGCTAAAGAATTTATAAGATACTTGCACATATGACTGGAACATAATAAGTGTTGTGTACTCTGGACCATCTGAAATGTCTATGGTGTTGGCTATTGTTTCTGTGGTTAATTGTTGTTGTTGAGTGCTGTTGAGTTGGTTCTGACTCATAGCGACATGTATAGGGTTTTCAAGACATCAGTTTGAAAAGAGTCCTTATCAGAGCAGCAGTAATTGTAAAATCCATGCAATGACAAACATGGGATTTATGGTGAAGCTTGGTAGTCATGAAAATATGAGGGACCATCAAAAAGTTCATGGAAAATGAATATCATGAAAAATTAAGGATTCAATTTTTTTTTTTTGCTGCAAAATAAACTGGTGTGGTGCCATAGGATAAGTGCTTGACTGCAGGGTTGGTTTGAATGGCAAGATCAGTGTTTCAGACTCACCAGCAACTCCTTGGAAACCTTATACAGGCTCACTATGAGCTGGAAACATCTTGACAGCACTTAACAACAAAAACTTCTTGTACGTGTTGTCAGGAGGGAACAGTCTCTGGAAAAAACATCATGTTTGTTAAGGTGGGTGGTGGTGGTTATCTGCTGTGGAGTTGGTTCCGACTCATAGCGACAGGGTTAAAGTAGAGGGCTAGCGAAAAAGAGAAAGATCCCCAGCAAGGTGGATGGACTTACTGACTGAAATAATGGGCTCTAACAACCATTGTGAGGATGGTGTAGGACCAGGCAGTAGTTTGCTCTGTTGTGCATAAGGTTCTATAAGTTAGAGCCTAACAACAACTTCTTATAATGTGTCTGAATAGGAACTGGTTTGAGACACGAAGATAAGACATCAGTTTGAAAAGAGTCCCTTATCAGAGCATCATGAATTTCAAAATCCACACAATAACAAACATGGAATTTATGGTGATGCTTGGGTGAAAAAGGGTGAAATCATTGATGCTTTTTGAAAAGTTTATGGGGACAATACCCCAAAGAAATCAGCAGTTTACAAATGGGTAACACATTTTCAGAAGGGATGTTATAATGTTGAAAATGAAGTCTGCAGGAGCAGACCATCCACATCAGTTTTCGAGGAAACCATTATCTTGCTCGTGACCTAATTGAAGAGGGCCAGTAATTAACAGCATGAATCATTGTTTGGTACTGTAGGATAAGCACTGGACAAGGTTGGTGGTTCAGCTCACCGGCTGCTCCATGGAAGTCCTATACAGGGTCGCTATGAGTCAGAACCGACTCAATAGCGCTTAACAACAACGATAACTAACAGCAGAAACAATAGACAACACCATAGATATTTCAGTTGGTTCAGCTTACACAATTCTAACTGAAAAATTAAAAGTTGAGCAAACTTTCTGCTTGATGGGTACCATAATTCTTGCACCCAGATTAGCTATAGATAGGAGCAGAACTTTCAATGAAAAATTTAAACAAGTGGCATCAACATCCTGAAGCATTTCTTAGAAAAATTGTAACAGATGAAGCATGGTTTTACTAGTACTATCTTGAAGATTTGATGTGGCCATCCTCTATTCTTTTTTTTTTAATGTTTTATTGTGAATTATGTGACAGTTTACAGGGGAGAACATTACCTTTACATTCATCTTATCATATACTGTTTCATTGCCATGGTTACGATCCCCTCCATGCATCATCAACCAACCAAAGGGTACATCCTAAAGTCCTGCCTCCCCCCACCCCCCCTTGCCCTCCTTGGCCGCCCCTCTCCTGGTCATCAGCACACAGACCCTCTCCTTCTCTGGGTCTAAAGTCCTCAGCTGCTCCATCTCTCCATGCCATCATCTCTGTCTCCATCTCAGGGTTCACTGCTTCTCTGGATAGGGTTCTGCTCTCTGCTCTTATCCCTTGATGGTCCCAGGGACCTCCGCTCCTAGACTGCAAAGTTAATCACTTCCCTTCTTGCCACAAAATGTCTACCTTTACATTTACAACCCTCACAATCAGTCCTAATAACAATTGTTAACCATTGTATCACAAGAGACCAACCCGCATTTCCTTTCATCATCCCCACCTAGACAGATTGGATACTACTCAGTGGAGATTCTAGCTTCCTCCACACACTGTGGATCTAAGTTCCCTCTTGAAAGCTTGTAAGCCAGTCACTTCTTGCCTTTGTAGCACCCCATTTTGGATAGCCAGTGTCCAAGTTACCCATCCCTGTCTACTCTGTGTGGAGGGGGTGGGAATGCTCCTCGCTGTAAAGATTTGTTCCCTCTTTTGGACTACTGCATCCATAGGTGTAGGTCAAATTCATCAAATTGTGTCAGATTACTCTTTTTTTCCTCTTCTTTCTTCTAGTTGAGCTCTGATCATTCAGTCATTGAAGCCAGGTCAAGTGGGTATTATCTGCAAGTGTGGGTGTTCTTGTGCATATGTCCTCTCTTCTTATCAGCTGGATGTTTCACTCTCCACTCTAGTCCTCTGTGGCTATGTCACTGACTCTGGGCCTAAGAGTCCCCAGATCTTGCCACACTGCTGGCCAACCAGGTCTCCACCCGGGTTCACAGAAGTCTATAGAACTTTGTAGGGCTTAGCTCGCAGCTTCATTGCTGTTTTTCCCTAATTTCCCCTTATTGGTGACGAATGTGGTCACCAATCAGAGCATGTATTCCCATTGAGTCTTAGTCTTGGAAGGGGGTTTACTTTGAGGGGACCCGACTCCTTGCCTTGATGTCTCCTGGGCGAGCAACTTGCTTGTTCTTGTAGTAATCAGTCGGTCTCCCTATATTGTTCAGTATTTTTTTTCCTATCAGTCTTTCTTTCAAGAGGTATCTTC